GTGAGCCTAGTAGGAACATTTCTTAAAGTTCTTTTTACTATGCCCTTTTCATACTTCTTAAGCATTCCAACAATTACACTTTTTCTGTAACCCAGGGTCCGGGCCACCTGCAATACTCTATCAATCTCCTTCTCTCTGTCAGCGATTTGGTCACAATATAAACAAGCTCTCCTTATTAACGCTCGAAAGGCTGCCATCTTATACTGATACGGATCCATAGACTGGGATGGTATATATAATGGTGTGTGTGTAGGTTTAATATAAACACTTGTGGACAAATGCCCTTTCATAAACCGGATATTAATGTCCAAGAAGTGCACATTCATGGAACTCTTTTGTTCTAATCTCAATCTAAGCCCATCATTGTTATCATTAATTCTACTCATAAATTCATGCACCCTCCTATTATTCTTCCATAAGATCAGAATGTCATCCACATACCTGCTGAAATATACGATATCATCTTTGAACCCATGAAGAACCCTTCTTTCTAGTCTTCTGACAACTAATTCGCAAAGGATTCCTGAGAGGGGACTCCCCATCGGAACCCCTCTTTTTTGTCTGTAGATCTGACCACAAAAGATGAAGCACGACTCACAGCACACCAGGTTAGCCAGTTCTTCTAGCTCTTGCGTGTAAAGAAGCAACTGGGAGTTCTTTATGTACAAGAAATCCAATAACGCATCCACACAAGACTCAATCATTACTGAAGGATACATGCTTTCATAATCTAAGACGGTCGCTACCTCATCCTCCATTAAAGATATATCTTGTATCTCCTTGACAACAATAAGAGGATCCTGTGCCACTAGATTATCATCATCAAGGTGCGAGGATAAATACCCGTGCAGCCTTTTTTCTAATATAAAGGTGGGTCCTCTGCATTTCTCTACAACTGGCCTTAACTCCATTCCGGTCTTGTGGGTCTTAGCGAAAGCAAACAATCTTGGAGTTCCGGGCCTCGGGTTCCGGCATTTCTTGAGAAAAGATAAAACAGCGGAAAGTCCCGAGCGTTCCAGCTTCCTGACCCTTCTGTCCAAAGATCCAACTACATTGTCGCCAACAATTTCACATTCCGTCTTTTTGATGTAATTATGCAACTCCTTGTTATAAGTATGCCTTCTCATGATAACCAAATGTTTAGTTTTGTCTGCTCTTGTCAACACAAGATCATTCATCCTTAACCA